GTTATTCCTGAAAAATATATAAGAAGCTAATAAAAAGGAAAGATTTATATTTAATAATTTGCATTCCAAATGTGAAATAGATACAAAGTTATCATGAAATATATTTTCCTAGCACATTTCAATAAATTTACTAAATGATAATGATGAAAATGTTTTTAAAATCATGGCATAGCAGGGAATTATAATGAGAGAGAAATATACTGAAGAGAACTCTTCAGTGACGTCCTCACTCACAGGAAAGCCAGAGCTCGGGTAAAACTAAAATAAAAGGCTCTGATCATTTTGAGTCCGTTACAGATTTTTGTTTTCTAAAATTCACCAATGATGTCACAAAGCAAATAAAAGTAAGTTCTGAGCTAAGGTTTTCTCTATTTAAAGAGTCTGATTTGGGCATAAGGCTCTCTCTCCATTCCCTCTATCATCAGTCTAATAAACCAATTTAATTTTATAAGGATTTATCACTGCCATTTTATGGCCCTTAAGACCATGCAAAAGAAACTACTTAAAAAGTAGTAAAAACAATGTGAGTCGTAATTTTAGTATGCTTACAGATGAGTAAGTCAGCCCGGGAGGGAACCGAAAACTTTCTTGTTGTAACTTCTTGGTAATTAAGATTTAGTGAAAGCTCTGAAAGTATCTGAGGGATTCTCATTTTGAGGTGTCTTAGTATTCCTTATCAAAGTAGCAGAATCAAATACAGTTTTATTTATAGGGTACTCCCACTGAAACTGCTCATAGAGAACTATGCGTAAAAAGGTTGTAAGTCACAGACTGACAGTCAAAGTGAGAGCAAATCTTGCCATTCACAGTGCTTTTTCAACAAGAACATTTTTATATATATCTAAACAGTATAAATTTTTCTTCCAAAAACTCTAGAGAGCTTCATTACTATGTTTCAGTTGGGCCTAAGTAAATGGTGCTTTTAAGACTTTTAAGATGGGCAAGTGTGTTAGAGTTGTTTTCATCCACACCTCCCAGTGGGATAATAAAACACAGCTTTTATAGTTCTTAGAATTTTAACTCTATTTAAGTGTTATAAAAATACATTTACCACCTAAAATAAAACTTTAAACAAGACACTTTAATAACAACTTAAAAAAAAATTTCCAGCTGGGTGCAGTGGCTCACACCTGTAATCTCAGTGCTTTGGAAGTCCGAAATGGAGGATCGCTTGAGCCAGGAGCTCAAGACCAGACTAGACAACACAGTAAGACCCTATCTCTAAAGAAAAGAAATCAAAATGTTAGCTAGATGTGGTAGTGCATGCCTATAGTCTTAGCTACTTGTAAGAATAAGGCAGAAGGATTTCTTGAGGCCCAAGAGGTCAAGACTGCAGTGAGCTGTAATCACACCACTACACTATAGTCTGCAACAAGCAAGACCCTGTTTCAAAGAAAAATTATATCACTCAACATTACTTTTCTTGACACAGGATCCTTAAAAACAATACTATGGAATACTATGTTGCTAATAGTTCTTATTACTTGTGTGTGTGTCTCTGTGCATGTCTATGTGTGTGTCTGTGTGTGTGTGTAAAACATCTATAATTTTTTAAACTCCTGCTTTCCAAGTTCAAGAAGAAAGTATAATTTTCTTAAAAAATTTGTTGAGACAAATGAATATAGAAATAAAACATATCTGCCAGGCGTCGTGGCTCACTCCTGTAATCCCAGCACTTTGGGAGGCTGAGACAGGCAGATAACCTGTGGTCAGGAGTTTGAGACAACCCTGAACAACATGGCAAAACCCCATCTCTACTAAAAATTGGCCAGGTACAGTGGGTCACGCCTGTAATTCCAGCACGTTGGAAGGCCAAGGTGGGCAGATCACCTGAGGTTGGGAGTTTAAAACCAGCCTGTTCAACATGGAGAAACTCCATCACTACTAAAAATACAATAGAATTATTAGCCAAGCTTGGTGGCACATGCCTGTAATCCCAGCTATTTAGGAGCCTGAGGCAAGACAATCGCTTGAACCAGGGAGGCGGGGTTGCAGTGAGCGGAGATTGCACCATTGCACTCCAGCCTGGGCAACAAGAGCAAAACTCGGTCTCAAAGAAAAGAAAATACATCAAAATTTATGTAATAATACAAAAGTAGTACTAAGAGGGAAGTTTATAGTAATTAACAGCTATATCAAAAAAGCAGAAAGACTTCAAATAAGCAACCTAATGATGCACCCTCAAAAAACTAGAAAAGCAAGAATAAAATCAAACCCAAAATTAGTACAAGGAAAGAAATAATGAGGATCAGAGCAAAAATAAATGAAACTGAAACTAAAAAAGCAATACAGAATACCAACAAAATGAAAAGTTGATTTTTTTAAAGATAAAATTGACAAACTTATAGCTAGACTAAGAAAAAAAGAAAACCCAAACAAATAAAATCAGAAATGAAAAAGGGTTCATAACAACTAATGCTGCAAAAATACAAAGAATCATTAGAGATTACTATGAACAACTATATGCAAACAAATTGGAAAACCTAGAAGAAATGGATAAATTTCTGGACACATACAATCTACCAAGATTGAACCATAATCGAATAGAAAAACCTTAACAGACCAATAGTAAGTAAAGAAATCGAAACTATGATAAAAGGTCTCTTAAATGAAAGCTCAGGAGTTGATGGCATCACTGTTGAATTCTACCAAACATTTAAAGAACAAATACTACTGGCCAGGGCAGTGGCTCATGCCTATAATCCCAGCACTTTGGGAGGCCATGGTGGGCAGATCACGAGGTCAGGAGTTCCAGACCAGCCTGACCAACATGGTGAAACCCCATCTCTACTAAAAATACAAAAATTAGCTGGGTGTGGTGGTAGGTACCTGTCCCTAGCACTTTGGGTGGCGAACCGGGCATATCACAAGGTCAGGAGATAGAGACCATCTTGGCTAACACAGTGAAACCCCATCTCTACTAAAAATACAAAAAAATTAGCCAGGTATATTGGCAGGCATCTGTAGTCCCAGCTACTTGGGAGGCTGAGGTAGGAGAATCACTTGAAGCTGGGTGGTGGAGGTTGCAATGAGCCGAGATCGCACCACTGCACTCCAGTCTGGGCAGCAGAGCAAGACTCCATCTCAAAAAAAAAAAAAGATCCATACAAGTTAAACTATAAAACACTGATGAAAAAAATTAAAGAGGACACAAAAAAATGGAAAGATTATTCATGCCCATGGAATGAAAGAATTAACATTGTTAAAATGACAATATTATCTAAGGCATTTTATAGATTCAATGTAATCTCTCTCTATATATAATCTATCTATATCTATCTATCTATCTATCTATCTATCTATCTATCTATCTATCATCTATCTATATATATATAATCCCAAATATAAAGTATCAAATATTTTGATATTTTATCAAATATATATAATCTATATATATAATCCCAAATATAAAATATCAAAATATCAATGATATTCTACACAGCATTAGAAAAAGGAATCCTAAAACTTATATAGAAATACAAAAGACCTTGAATAGCCAAGGTAACCCTGAGTAAGAAGAACAAAGCTGGAAGCATCACACTACCTGACTTCAAAATATGCTATAAAGCAGCTGGGTGTAGTGGCTCATGCCTGTAATCCTAGCACATTGGTAGCCAAGGTGGTAGATCACGAGGTCAGGAGTTTGAGACCAGCCTGGCCAAGATGTTGAAATCTCACCTCTACTGAAAATACAAAAATTAGTCAGTCGCCATGGCAGTTGCTTGTAATACCAGCTATTTGGGAGCCTGAGGCAGGAGAATTGCTTGAACCTGGGAAGCAGAGGTTAGAGGTTATAGTGAGCCAAGACTACACCACTGCACTGCATTCTAGCCTGGGTGAAAGAGCAAGACTTGGTCTCAAAAAAAAAAAAAAAATTCTGCAAAGCTATCATAACCAAATCAGCATGGTAGTGGCATAAACACAGAGACATAAACCAATGAAACAGAATTGGAAACCCAAATATAAATCTGTGCATTTATAGTCAAACCCTTTTTTGGCAAAGTTGCCATAATATACAATGAGGAAAGGGCAGTCTCCAATAAATAGTGTTGGGAAAACTGGATAATCATATGCAGAAGAATGAAATCAGACCCGTATTTCTCACCATACACAAAAACCAATCAAAATAGATTAAATATTTAACTCTAAGAACTGAAATTATAAAACTACTGAAAGAAAATATTGGGAAAACTCTCCAGAACATTGTTCTGGGCAAAGATTGTGGGCTCTGTGTGTGTGTGTGTGTGTGTGTGTGTGTGTGTGAGAGAGAGACCTGGAAAGCACAAATAGACAAATGGTATTAAAATCTAAAAATCTCCTCCACAGCAAAGGAAACAAGCAAAAAAGTAAAGAGGAAGTCCTAGCCAGAGCAATCAAGCAAGATAAAGAAATAAAAGGCAGCCAAATGTCCAAAGTCAAATGATCTCTCTTTGATGACGATATAATTCTGTAAATAGAAAACCCTAAAGACTGCCAAAGGGCACCTAGAATTAATAAATGACTTTAGTAAAGTTTCAGGATACAAAATCAACATACAAAAATAGCATTTCTTTTTATTTTATTTTTTATTTTTTGAAATGGAGTTTTGCTATGTTGCTCAGGCTGGAGTGCAATGGCATGATCTCGGCTCACTGCAACCTCTATCTCCCAGGTTTAAGTGATTCTTCTGCCTCAGCCTTCCTGAGTAGCTGGGACTACAGGAACATGCCACTACACCTGGCTAATTTTTGTATTTTTTGTGGAGATGGTGTTTCCCCATGTTGGCTAGGCTGGTCTCAAACTCCTGACAGTAGGTGATCTGCTCACCCCGGCCTCCCAAAGTTCTGGGATTATAGGCATGAGCCACTGTGCCTGTACAAATGGTAGCATGCCTATACACAAATAACATTCAAGTTGACAGACAAATTAAGAATGCAATCCTAGCTCTCAGTTGCCACCACCAGCCTGCACACCGCATTCTCCTGCACTCTGTTCGTTGCCTCACTCCTCCTCAGGTCACAATGGAAGAAGAGATCGGCACCCTCATTATTGACAATGGTTCCAGCATGTGCAAAGCTGACTTTGCTAGGGATGATGTCCCCTAAGTTGTGTTTCCCTCCATCGTCAGGTGCCCCCGGCACTAAGGCATGATGGTGGGCATGGGCCAGAAGGACTCCTGTGTGGGCAACGAGGCCCAGAGCAAGTGCGGCATCCTGACCCTGAAGTATCCCATCGAGCATGGCATTGTCACCAACTGGGACGACATGGAGAAGATCTGGCACCAAACCTACAACGAGCTGCATGTGGCCCTGGTACTGTTGACTGAGGCCCTCCTGAGCCCCAAGGCCAACAAAAACAGAATGCCTCAGATGATGTTTGAGACCTTCAACACTCTGGCCATGTACATGGCTCTCCAGGTTGTGCTGTCCCTGTATGCCTCTGGCAGCACAACTGGCATTGTCATGGACTCTGGAGATGGGGTCACCCATATGGTGCCCATCTACGAGGGCTATGCCCTCCCCCATGCCATCCTGCATCTGGACATGGCTCTCTAGGACCTGACCGACTAACTCATGAGGATCCTTACCGAAAGTAGCTACAGCTTCACCACCACAGCGGAGCGGGAGATTGCATGTGACATCAAGGAGAAATTGTGCTATGTCACCCTGGACTTCGAGCATGAGATGGCCACCACCACATCCTCTTCTTCCCTAGAGAAAAGCTACGAGCTGCATGATGGCCAGGTCATCACCATCGGCAACAAGTGGCTTCAGTGTCCAAAGGCGCTGTTACAGCCTTCCTTCCTGGGCATGGAATCTTGCAGCATCCACAAGACCACCTTCAACTCCATCATGATGTGTGATGTGGGCAACCACAAAGACCTGTATGCCAACACGGTGCTGGCTGGTGGCACCACCATGCACCCAGGCATTGCTGACATGATGCAGAAGGAGATCGCCACTCTGGCAGCCAGCACCGTGATCATCGGCTCCGAGTGCAAGTACTCAATGTAGATCCATGGCTTCTTCCTGGCCTCACTGCCCTCCTTCCAGCAGATGTGGATTAGCAAGCAGGAGTACGACGAGTCCAGCCCCTCCATCATCCACCACAAATGCTTCTAAATGGACTCTGAGCAGATGCATAGCACTTGCTGCATGGGTTAATTCACAAGTATAAATTTGCCCCTGGCAAATGCATACACCTCATACTATCCTCACGAAACTGGAATAAGTCTTCAGAAAGAAACTGTCTGTGGAGCTTGTACCTGATATCAGCATTGGATTGTAGAACTTGTTGCTGATTTTGACCTTGTATTCAAGTTAACTGTTCCCCTTGGTATTTGTAGAATACCTGTACATATCTTTGATTTTAACCCTTAGTACATGCAGCTTGGTCACTTTGAGGCTGAGGTAAGTACATGCTTGTGGAAGACAAGTCTGTGGCCTGGTGAGTCTGCATGGCCAGCAGTCTCTGATCTGTGCAGGGTATTAATGTGTCAGGGCTGAGTGTTCTGGGATTTCTCTAGAGGCTGCAAGGGCTCCTGAACCAGTTGTTTCTGTCCTGCCAGTCTGCCAGGGTTGGAAACTCCAAGCCATAGGACCCAGTTTCCTTTCTTAGCTGATGTTTTTCTGCCAGAACACCATGCGCTCTTACTTGCCTTGAGTTGAAAGTGGTTTACATTTATACCTCCAAATATATTTATCCTTTTTAATTTATGTAGGGTTTCTTTTGTACACAATTCTCAATTCTTTAAAGAAATGACAACAAACTTTGTTTTCTACTATTATGTGAGAACATTAGGCCCCCGTAACATTGCGTAAGGAAAAATAAAAGTGCCGCTGTAACCAGAAAAAAGAATGCAATCCCATTTATAACAGCCATGCACAAAAGAAAATATCTAGGAATACATCTAAGCGATGAGGTGAAAGAGCTCTACAGGGAGAGCTACAAAACACTGCCAAAAGAAATCAGAGTCGACACAAACAAATAGAAAAACATTCCATGCTTATAGATTAGAAGAATCAATATTGTTAACATGGTCATATTGCTCAAAGCAGTCTACAGGTTCAATGCTATTCCTATCAAACTACCAACATTATTTTTCACAGAATTAGAAAAAAAACTGTTCTCAAATTAATATGGAACCAAAAACCCAGAATAGCCAAAGCAATCTTAAGCAAAAAGAACAAAGTCGGAGACATTGCATTTCCTGACTTCAAAATATACTATAAAGCTACAGTAATAAAACAGCCTGGTACTGATACAAAAACAGACACATAGACTAATGAAACTAAATAGAGAATCCAGAAATAAAGCCACACACCTGCAACCATCTGATCTCTGACAAAGTCAACAAAAATAAGCCCTGAGGAAAGGACTCCCCACTCAATAAATGGTGCTTGGGTAACTGGCTAGCCACATGCAGAAGAATGAAACTGGACTCTTACCTTTCACCATATGCAAAAATTAACTCAAAGATTTAAATGTAAGACTTCAAACTACAAAAATCTGGAAGAAAACCTAGGAAATATCATTCTGGACATGGGCTTTGGCAAAGAACTTATAACTAAGTCCTCAAAAACAATTGCAACAAAAATTGACAAGTGGGACCTCATTAACTAACCAGTTTCTGCACAGCAAAAGAAACTGTCAACAGAGTGAACAGATAACTTAGAGAATGGGAGAAAATATTCACAAACTAGGCATCTGACAAAGGCCTAATATCTAGAATCTATAAGAAATTCAAATCATCAAGCAAAAAACAAACGATCCCATTAAAAGTAAGCAAAAGGCCAGGGGCAGTGGCTTATGCCGCTAATCCCAGCACTTTGGGAGGCCGAGGCGGGTGGATCAAGAGGTAAAGAGATTGAGACCATCCTGGCCATGGTGAAATCCTGGCTCTACTAGAATACAAAAAATTAGCTGGGCATGGTGGCGGGCACCTGTAGCCCCCAGCTTCTCAGGAGGCTGAGGCAGGGGAATTGTTTGAACCCAGGAGATGGAGGTTGAAGTGAGCTGAGATTGTGCCACTCCAGCCTGATGACAGAGCAAGACTCCATCTCAAAAAAAGTGAGCAAAAGACATGAACACACACTTCTCAAAAGAAGACACGCAGATGGCAAAAAACATCTGAAAAATGTTCTACATCACTAATCATCGGAGAAATGCAAAGCAAAGCCACAATGAGATACCATCTCACCCTAGTTAGAATGACTTTTATCAAAAAGACAGGGAATTGCCCGGGTGAGGTGGCTCATGCCTGTAATCCCAGCACTTTGGGAGGCCAAGGTGGGCAGATGGCCTGAGGTCAGGAGTTTGAGACCAACTTGGCCAAACACAGTCTCCACTAAAAATACAAAAATTACCCAGGCTTGGTGGCCTGCGCCTGTAGTCCCAGCTACTCAAGGGGCTGAGGGAGGAGAATCGTTTGAACCTGGGAGGTGGAGGTTGCAGTGAGCCAAGGTCGCACCACTGCACTCCAGCCTGGGTGACAGGGCGAAACTCTGTCTCAAGGAAAAAAAAAAAAAAAAGGACAAAATGTGATATACATACACAATAGAATATTATTATTATTTAGCCATTGAAAGAATAAAATCCCATCATTTGCAGCAACATAGTGGAACTGGAGGTCCTTAAGTCAAGTAAAGTCAGCTGAACACGGAAAGACAAATATCTCTTCCTTACAGTTCCTGAAAAGAATGAAGGAAAAAAATGTTGATTTAAAATTTTAAAAAGACAAATATCTCAGGTTCTCACGCATATGGAAGCTAAAAGTGAATCTAGTGAAGGTAGAGAGCAGATGGATGGTTACCAGAGACCAGAAAGGATAGGAGGGAGGGAAGGATGAAGAGAGGTTGATTCATAGGTACAGACAGACAGTGAGATAGAACAGACAAGACTTTGTATGTGATAGATAAGCAGACTGGCTACGGTTAATATTAATCTAGTTTGCATTTTAAAATAGCTAGAACAGAATAATTCAAATGTTTCCAGCATAAAGAAAAAAAAATATTTAAGGTGATGGATATATCCCAATTACTCTGATTTGATTATATGAATGTGTCAGAATATCACGTATAGTCCCAAAATATGTACATCGATTATGTATCAATAAAAAATATAAAATAGGCCGGGCACAGTGGCTCAAGCCTGTAATCCCAGCACTTTGGGAAGTTGCGGCGGGTGGATTATGAGGTCAAGAGATCGAGACCATCCTGGTCAACATGGTGAAACCCCGTCTCTACTAAAAATACAAAAAATTAGCTGGGCATGGTGGTGCGTGCCTGTAATCCCAGCTACTCAGGAGGCTGAGGCGGGAGAATTGCTTGAACCCAGGAGGTGGAGGCTGCAATGAGCCAAGGTCACACCATTGCACTCCAGCCTGGGTAACAAAAGCAAAAACTCTGTCTCAAAAAATATATATATATATAAATATATAGATATATATATAAATATATATATATATAAAATAATAAGAAATTGTTTAAAGAGATACATAATTTCTTAAGACTAAGTTGAAAATGCAGAAGGGTTAAAGTGGTGGCAAGTAATTGTTAAAGCTTTTTTAGATTGTCATTTGGAATTGAGCATGTCTTTTAGCTAGCAAGGTAATATTTCAGCAGGAATATTCCTTACCATATTTCTAAGATCAGAAAGCTGCCTCATCATCCACAGGAAGTCAGCATTCAAAGACCATGCCAAATAAATACTGTGAAAACAGGTATGGCAATCTTGTTTGGGAACTAAAAAAATAATAAATGCCTTGACAAACAAAGAGTGTTGGGGCTTATGCCAATGTTCTCAGTAACTCTTTCTTACTATGAACCAGGGTGTTTTATATCGTTGGCAATGAAAAGTCAATATCTGACCAACGATTTGGAGTAATGTCCCTAATACAGCATAAATCTTATTTCAGAGGAAGAATATGGCAGAATAGGAGCTGCTGAAAACAGTTTCTCCAGTGTTTTTAAATCTATTCAGGCTCCACCTTATTTCAATCAGTTATCAGTCTGGACTCACCAACAGCATGTCCTTTATTTTATTTATTTATTTATTCATTCATTCATTCTGAGACAGGGTCTCACTCTGCAGCCCAGACTGGAGTGCAGTGGTGCAATCTTAGGTCACTGCAGCCTCAACCACCTAGACTGAAGTAATCCTCCCAGCCCAGCCTCCCAAGTAGCTGGGACTACAGGCATGTATCACCACGCCTGGCTAATTTTTGTATTTTTTTTTTTTTTTTGTAGAAATGGAGTTTCGCCATATTGGCCAGTTTGGTCTAGAACTCCTGGACTCAAGTGATCCACCCTTTGGGGCCTCCCATAATGCTGAGATTACAAGAGCCACTGTGCCCAGCTGATGCTCTTTTCTTTTCTTCTTTCTTTCTTTCTTTTTTTTTTTTTTGACAGAGTCTCGATCTGTTGCCCAGGCTGGAGTGCAGTGGTGCAGTCTTGGCTCACTGCAACCTCTGCCTCCCAGGTTCAAGTATTCTCCTATCTCAGCCTCCCAAGCAGCTAGGATTACAGGTACATGCCACCACACCCAACTAATTTTTGTATTTTTAGTAGAGAGAGCATTTTGCCACGTTGTCCAGGCTGGTCTCAAACTCCTGACCTCAAGTGATCCACCTGCCTCAGCCTCCTAAAGTGCTGGGATTACAGGCTTGAGCCACCACACTGGCCCCTTTATTTCTTCTGGACATGTATTCTAGTCATTGACTTCCAAGCAGGGCTACTGATTAAAATAGTATAAAGCTAATCATTCAAATTTAAAAACCTTGACTGAAACTGGAAACAATCAACAGCAAAGGAAGAAAACTGATGAAATGAGTACTTACTCACATCCTGTTGTTACAAAGTCACACACAGCCTGTGGCAATGATAGCACTGTACCCATACATACTATGACATCAAAATGTGTCATGAAGGGGAGTCAAGGTGCATCAAAAATTGACCATTTCAGATTGGTGCACATGAATGAGATAAAGTATATATCCTATCTCCTATTTGTTTTCATCAAAACTGCCCCTGTTGGCCAGGTGCAGTAGCTCATGCCTATAATCCTCACACTTTGGGAGTCTGAGGTGGGAGGATCACATGAGAGCAGGAGTTTGAGACCAGCCTGGACAATATAAGGAGACCTCGTCTCTACAAATAAATGAATAAATAAATAACTGCCCATGTTACTTATAATAAATTTCATTTGCCTTTCCTGGGCACTTCTTTACAATTTCATATTTTTTGGGCTGAAGTAAAGTAGATTAAACCTAAGCTAGGCCAATGTTGCCTAGAGGAAGGAGCCTGAGACAATTCTCAGAAGAGTCAGGTTCGTCTAGTTTTGACATTGAAACTAACTAACTCAGGCAAGTTAGAGCTGCTTGGTATCTCATCTCTACCATCAGTCAAATGAGGATAATATTGCCTACCTTGCACACTTGCCTCACAGAGTGATAATGAGAATCAAGAGACATGTAAAAGGATTTTGAAGTTAAAAGTGCTGTGCAAAAGCAAGCGATTATAATGGGAAAAAAATGCTGGCTGGGTGCAGTGGCTCATGCCTGTAATCCTAACACTTTGGGAGGTTGAGGCATGTGAATCACCTGAGGTCAGGAGTTTGAGACCAGCCTGGCCAACATGGTGAAACCCTGTTTCTACTAAAAAGCAAAAAATTAGCTGGGCATGGTGGCACATGTCTGTAATGCCAGCTACTCGGGA